ATAAATTCTTGTGCATTCCAAGGCAAGTTTAAATGTGAAAATCCTAATTAGGTATGGAAGTGTACTAAAGTTGCTAAGGTCTATGTACTAAGATCAGCTAATTAACTTTTGATTGAAATATTCTTTTTCCTTGATAACATTTTTTGCGCCATTTAATAAAATCTGCATTTGGATGGTGCCAGAAGTATTATTAAGGAAGGGGAATATTTTGATTGAGAACCGGCTGGCTGATCTTGGTATATGGATCTTAATAACTTCAATATACATTCATAGCTAACTAAAGTTTCCGCTCTTAAAATTCTCTTTTCTAGATTTTTAAGAAGCACAATTGAAGGAGATTTATGGAGAGTCTGATTTATGTTGAATAGGGGCGCTTAAGGCATTTTAAACAGCACTTGCAAAAGAGTGGGTACCCAGATGAATGGGAAAGCAAAGCAAATGGCCAAGTGTGCCGCCATATTTAAGTTTCTGGGAACAAATACTTTTCTGATATGTTTTTCTTTGTTTTGTTTCTTAGAACTATTTTCTTTTTATTTCGTGCAAAGGTGATTAATCTTGCAACTGATGAGGCTGACAAGGGTTTTTATGTGGTCTGACTGCTAGAGCCACGTGACCAAAAGTTGACCCCTGTAGTGGGGATTGATGATGAGTACTCCTATGATCAGCTTCACACCAACGTGCATGATTTTATGTAAATAGATTTTTATGTAAATAGATTTTATGTAAATAGATTTTTATGTCAATAGATTTTATGTAAATAGATTTTTATGTAAATAGATTTTATGTAAATAGATTTTTATGTAAATAGATTTTTATGTAAATAGATTTTATGTAAATAGATTTTTATGTAAATAGATTTTTATGTAAATAGATTTTATGTAAATACATTTTATGTAAATAGATTATTATGTAAATAGATTTTTATGTAAATAAATTTTTATGTAAATAGATTTTTGTAAATAGATTTTTATGTAAATAGATTTTTATGTAAATAGATTTTTATGTAAATAGATTTTTATGTAAATAGATTTTTGTTCAGATGTTGCTGGCTTTGTTTTTTGCGAAAGATGCAGTGCAGCCGTAGGTACAAAAGGTAGGGCATGAATGTACAAACGCTTTGCATCAAACTCAAACTTTCTGCAGTATGTGCTTCGCTTTCTCAGTGGACCTGCTGAAAGCCAAGCGTGAGTATGAAATCCAAGTAATTGTTGTTTCCCAGATTTAAGAAACCAAGAGATTGAATCATCCGCAGGTATGGTTCTATTGAGCTGCTGGAGGAGTCTTGTAAACTCGGGAAATATTCTGCAAGGGTTGTTCGTGGGATGATCAAGGGTGAGCTGGGATTGCGGACAAAGGAGAAAATTTGGGAGCTTAGAGATGGTTGCAGGAAAGCCTGGGAACTGGTAAGTATTCGCAAAATTTGGACCTCGTTGTAACTCAACATTTGGTTGAAGGGATTCAATAGCCTCAGACCTGTGTGCATTGACAAGAGCCTGCTCGAGCTCCTCGACGCTGTTAATCAGAAAGCAAAAGGTCCTCTTTCGCAGCAGAAACAAAAGGTGTATAGAGGGACCCACTTGTTAGAAAATAAGAGGAACCTAACACGGCCGGAGCAGAGGCCAAAACGTAATTGGGCTGGATTTGTGCGGATCTGGTGGTAGAAGCATTGCAACCATAAGTTACATCAAACTGCTTACCTTTGAGAGGGTAGTAGACTTTGGAGGCGAGCAAAGGCAGATGATAGTAGAAAGTTTCGTCCAATGATTGTGTTGCTGCATCAAAGAGCAACTCTTACATCCTGTGACCAACTGCTGAAGTAATCTGAGACGAGGCACTTCACAGGCCCGGCCCGGGCTGCAAATCGTCCAAAAAGGATGCTACGTGATGGATCCATTTGATCAGGATCCATTGTCAGAACCGGAAGTGAAGGAATGTTGATTGGGTGCTGTTCCTGTGACAATCTGGACTTGCCGGGCATGAATCCACGGCTTCGCTGCTATCCTGGACTATGATGCTGCTGGCTGTTTATCCCGATTGGCAGGAACGTGCTCGTGCTGAAGTACAGGAAATATAGAAGGATGGTGCACCACATTGATGCCGATAAGATCAGCGAACTCAAGCTGGTTACAAGTCGAGAAAATCTTAAAAGTTTGTGATTTCCAATACTCTTTCGGTGTCGATTCACAGGTAGGAATGATACTTAACGAGACCTTGCGCCTGTATCCACCGGTCATAGCGTTTTTCAGAGCCTGCTTCCAAGATACCTGGGTGCAAGACTTGTGCTGTCGCCTTCCCAGGCCTAGCAATTCGCCACGGCAAGGAACTTTGGGGACCAGATGCCAGCGATTTCGACCCAGAACGCTTCAAAGATGGCATCTTCAACGCCTCCAAGTATCCCCAAACGCTTTCATGCCGTTCTCCCTCGGCCCTCGAGTGTGCGTCGGCCAGTTGTTCGCATTGATGGAAGCCAAAGTCGCATCTCTGAAGGCGTTCCATGGAATACCACTCATACTCAATACGCTCCTGTCTGGATCACATCGTCACCCAGCACATTTAATGGAACTTATGAGACTGTTGTTGGATTTGCTAAGGCCTTCTACCTGGTACCTCGCCACCTTTTGATCTCCCAGCTCTTGGAACTGGACGCTCCGACACCATTGATTGCTGTGGTTGTCGAGCTATACCGATTAGTGAAGCTCCAGAGGGGACACGGTTCCTTTCACAAGTGGGGTTAGGCAGGGATGCCCATTGTCTCCAACCTTTTTGCCATTTACATCGGGGCGCTCGAAACCATGATCGAACCTAACAACTCTCTGGGAATGTATCTGTTTCTCCTCCTGTACGCCAATGATCTTCTTCTAGTGGCACCGGATACCGCGCCATGCAGCGTCTCTTTAATACGGGCAGGCATGCAAGTCAATTTGTCTAAGACGCAAGTCACGGTGTTTGGCCGTTGCAACAATGCCTCTATAACAGGGAACCTGTGATCAAAACAAAGGCATACACATAACAATGTGGTTACAGTCTGGAGAGAAAAGCTACGTGGTCAAGGTCATTCCAGTAGCCCTTTACGCCATTGAGGCAACTGGGCCAGGATTCCCAGGGTATGCTCGAAGGAGAGTTCACTACACAATCTTGGTGCTAGAAAGTCATAGTCGCGGCATTGACGTGCAAAACACCTTGATCAAATCTTTTGTCCAGTCCAAGTTTGTCGTGCTACGTGGGAAGGCTCCATGTTTCATCAAGTCATATTTGGTTTCTTAGCCACTATTCTTTTGTCCAGTCCAAGTTTGTCGAGTTGTTCAGTTTGATAATTTCTTGGCCAGCTAGCTTATAAACTGGAAACAATTTTAAAACTCCGGATTCTATCTATTCTTAGTGATCACCACCTCTTCTTTTGGATAACTTGGCCTTGGGTCTAGGAAACGAGGTCTGGAATTCCTCTCTCGATGCTCTCGGGCGAAGTTTCAAGTTAGAAGCTCATCGGTGGCATACCAGCGAAAGAAGTGGAAGGCGGCGGTGGCGGCGGAGACATTCCATACGGGATTTCATACATTCCGGGAGCGGTCGGTCCCGGCAGTGCCAGTGGAAGAAGCTGCGCGTACAAGTTCTACATCACACACAACCATGTCAAGTCCAGAGATGGCAGTGAAAACTAATAGCATACCTGTTTGGAGAGCATATCTTTGTCTTCGCTAGACTTGGAGCGCAGCTCTTGGAGAGAGTCATACTTGTCCTTCATGAGCTCGTCTACCTTGTTTGTGTACTCCCTTATGAACTGAAAGATATCTAAGTTCCATCACAAGGCCTTTTCGAGGAAAACGATACCTGGATCATATAGGGGACGACATAATCCAGCATTTTGTGCATCCATGCCAGCTCCAAGGCCACATCGGCTCTTACAAGATCGTAGCAAATGTATAGGCAAGCGGCAAAACAATCCCGTCTCCCCTGGAGGCCAAAGTTTAGTTTTATAGATGATGTAAGCGAGAAATCAACTTACTTGCTCGACAAAGAATGTGAGTAGCTCTTCGGTTAGCATTCCATCCCCAGACTCCGAGCAAGTTTCCATGGCATCCTTGTACAGCTCGTCCTTTTT